AGTAGGCCATTGAAAAAAATTAACATATTACTGATTTTCTAATCAGACAGGGGTGCAAAATCTTTTATTTCTTAAAAAGTTATGTAATTTTACAAATTTTGCAGGATAATAGCACTAAAAATATGTATATTACCTGGATTCTGTGGTATATCTTTGTGTTTTAAAGACTTAAAATCAACAAAACATAACACTATACATGTATGAAATTTTGCAAAATTAATTTTAAGGTTGAATTATTTTTGTCAATTCAAGAAAGCCACAATTTGTAAATTCCTCACCTGTCTAATATCTCAGTATTTCTGTACTATATCCTTTTTTGTTAGACCTGCTGCTTGCCCCATTATTATTCTAACACTGAATATTATTCATCATATTTATATACTGATATTCTTTTGCTCAAATTCAAATAAAACACTGTAACAAGTGAGATGTGAAATCTCTAAAATTAGCTTCTATTCTACCTTTGTCAAATAATTCATTGTTAAATGTTACACAATAATGATCACCACAATAACAAACTATTGATTTAGAATTTCAGAGATATAGAACTGGCAAGAAATAAAAATAAAAAGGACTCTTGTTTCCCTAAATCTAGAAGTACTGAGAGTTTAACCCAGGGAACTGGGATACAATTTCAACAATTACTCAGATAAATCAGAAATTTCCTGCTCCGTTACAGCATTGAATGAAGAGAAATGGGGAATTATTGGTGAGAATTTAGCTCTAACTATGTGGTAATGGTAATTTACTGGCAGTGTTCACTTTAATTGTAAATCAATCACATCAATAAATTCATTCAGCTGCATAAATTCACATTTCCTGTGAAATATGTTCAACCGTTTTTTGCTATAAAAGCATTGCTTAGCCATTTTTTCCCCACAAATTATTCTTTTGATTTTAAAAGAAGAAAACTTTGATGTTGTATTTAATGACAAACTGTATAAAATCTTACTACCCAATGTTTGGATGTTGAGAATGTCAGTATAAAAGGTTCATAAGCTGTAAACATGTCCACAGTTTCAGATCTTAGACTGTTCAAACCAACCAGTTCAGACCAAGATCAGCAGGCACATCCTTGTTGTCTAATCATAGTTTGCTCTGTTCCATATTCAAAGATCAATTTTGATATGAAATAATGTTCATTATGTAACTACTTCAGATAATTTCGACTGGTATTTACTTTATCAATCAAAATTGATCTTCTCCAAACTTTTTCATAATTGTAATGTTAAATATCAAATTTAAGACTTATATCATATAACAAATATATTATAATTAACTTATATCTCATGCAGGTGTCCATTTTAAGTCAATTTATTATTTTGTTTGTTTTCTTGTTTGTTTTGCGGAGTTTTAATTGTATAACATCACTCAATCTAATATAGTTATTATTTCACCTGACTTCTTTTCATGGATATTGAATTCTAAATAAAATACAAGACATTTTCTTATATTAATGATTACTCTTAAGTCACACAGAATATAATTTGCTCGACTGATTTACATACTTCAGCAGTCTACAAGAAGGAAAATGCCCCGGCAGTCTCCAAAGCTGTGTCCATCCATGGAAGCTGAAAAGCAACTTTGCTGGATCTAATACACTAATGCACAATCCTTGTCAGCTGGAAACAACTATCTTTCTTACAATTAAAACATAATGTACCTATATAATTAAAGCAGACCCTGTAAAACGACACGGATTTCATAATGATATAACAATTTTAATTTACTTACTTTCTATGTTGTGCTAGAAGGTTTAATTTATTTACTATATTGTGCTTAAAGGCTAAGATATTTAATAAAAGAAGTGGGAGGAGCAAATTTCTAATGACAGCTGAAACTGACAACTAAGGGACACTCAGGTAATTCAATTAACTAATGAAAATACAAAACTAGTTTTCAAACAAAAAGTGGCAAGTTCCATAATTGTAACAGTCCTAAATTTTTGTAAACTAATGTGAATTTCATAAATAAACCATAGTTGTTAATATATTTCTTATAACAGCAACCCTCTAAATAATAAGTTTTAGCATCAAATAATTATCTTAAAGTAACTTAATTAATGATATGCTTAAGTTGTTGTATAAAACAACATACATTTTATATTAAACAGCTGAAAGTTGTGAGTTGTATAATATTAGCTGCTATTTTATTGAATTTCATTAACCAGATTTTCAGCCTTAATATATGTTAATTGAAATAAGTTTCATAAAATGTAAATTAAAAAATTACAAAAAAAATCAATACAAGAGGGCCATGATGGCCCTTAGGTCGCTCACCTGTATATAGGCCCCCCAACCCCCCAATGTTGCAGGGCCAATTTAACCCAAGGGCTTTTATTTGCACAATCTTGGTAGACACCCATAAGAAGATGTTTCATGCTAAACATCTAAGCTCTAGCTAGCTCATTGGGCTTTTTAAAAGAAGATTTTTTTAAGATTTTGCTATACACATATAAGGAAAATCAATGACCCCCGGGGTAGTGCCAATTTTGACCCCAGGGCTTTTATTTGAAGAAACTTGGTAGACACCTATTAGAAAATGTTTGATGCTAAATATCTTAGCCATAGCTCTTTGATTTCTTTAAAAGAAGATTTTTTAAGTTTTTACTATATGCATATAGGGAAAATCAATGACCCCCCGGGGCGGGGCCAATTTTGACCCCAGGGCTTTTATTTGAACAAACTTGGTAGACACTTATAAGAAGATGTTTCATGCTAAATATCTTAGCTCTAACTCTTTTGGATCTTTAAAAGAAGATTTTTTAAGTTTTTACTATATGCATATAGGGAAAATCAATGACCCCCCGGGGCGGGGCCAATTTTGACCCCAGGGCTTTTATTTGAACAAACTTGGTAGACACTTATAAGAAGATGTTTCATGCTAAATATCTTAGCTCTAACTCTTTTGGATCTTTAAAAGAAGATTTTTTAAGTTTTTACTATATGCATATAGGGAAAATCAATGACCCCCTGGGGCGGGGCCAATTTTGACCCCAGGGCTTTTATTTGAACAAACTTGGTAGACACCTATTAGAACATGTTTGATGCTCAATATCTTAGCCATAGCTCTTTGAGTTCTTTAAAAGAAGATTTTTTAAGTTTTTACTATATGCATATAGGGAAAATCAATGACCCCCCCCGGGGCGGGGCCAATTTTGACCCAAGGGCTTTTATTTGAACAAACTTGGTAGGCACCCATTAGAACATGTTTCATGCTAAATATCTTAGCTCTAGCTCTTTGGGTTCTTTAAAAGAAGATTTTTAAGTTTTTACTATATACATATAGGGAAAATCAATGACCCCCGGGGCGGGCCAATTTTGACCCCAGGGCTTTTATTTGAACAAATTTGGTAGACACTCACTAGAAAATGTTTCATGCTAAATATCTAAGCTCTACCTCTTATGGTTTTTGAAAAGATGATATTTAAAGTTTTTTCTTTTGGTTGCCATGGCAACCAGAGTTCTGCATGGAATTAAATTCTTTGAACAATTTTTAAGGTGACCACCAAAGGAACATTCCTGTGAAGTTTGGATGAAATTGGCTTAGTGGTTTATGAGGAGATGTCATTTAAAGTAAAAGTTTATGGACGGACGCCGGACGGACGCCGGACGGACGAACGGACGCCGGACGGACGAACGGACGCCGGACGAAAAGTGATCACAAAAGCTCACCCTGTCACTTTGTGACAGATGAGCTAATAAATCCTATGAACAGATAATTGTCTCTGAAAATGATATGAATTTCATTAACTGGCTTAAAAGATTTTGAAAATTATAAAACAAGCTGTTAGGTCTTTGTAAATTAAAATGAATATCTAGTACTTTAATTTAAATACAATTTTAGGCATTAAAGAGACATGAGCTAGCAAAGGAAGAAATTCAATTGCATTTTCAAAATGTGCATTTATTGAAAACAAGCAATGTCCCCAAAGGGCATTTATGCCCCGGGCACTACATTTGCCTTTCAAAGTGGCAATATTTACATAATAATGCATACTTCATGTAGGTAAAGTTTTACAAGAATACAATATATATTTATATACATTTCACAAACATATGACCAAATTTAGTTATAACTATGGCCTTGACCTTTGACCTTAAAATCTAAAAGGGTCATCTACTGGGTGCAGGTAATGTCCCTACCAAGTTACACATTAACCAGAGTTTATTCCTTCTCAAGATGATTAGATTGTCACTGTAACCTTTGACCTTATAACCACAAAATCTACAGGAGTCACCTACTGGCTATGGGTGATCTCCCTGCAAAGATTCATACACAATGTCTTTTCCTTCTTATCTATTGATCAAACTAAGTGACACTGTGACCTTGACCTTTGAACTAGGAATTATCTACTGGCCATGTGAAATGATCCTACAAAGATTAAAAAAAAGCCACAGCTTATTCCCTCTCAAGAAATTGAAAAGTTATATACTTTTGATTATGTGTCACTGTAACCTTGACCTTTGACCTAATGACCTCAAAGACAAGAGGGGTCATTAACTAGCCATGTGAAATGTCACTACCAAGTTCCATAAACAATGCCATAAACAATGCCAAATGTTCCTTTTGAAGTAAATGATTGAACAAGAATTTTACATTATGTGTCACTGTAATGCCCTCAACTTTTGACCTAATGACATACAAATCAGATCAGGTCATCTTCTGGCCCTATCAAGTTACTTACTTCTTAAGTTACTTATTTGAGTAGGATAATAGCACATCTGTACATAGTACATATCTGTATGTACATACACATTGATGTACCACCTCTTTACAGTATATTCACCACTTTTTGAGAGGGGAAAAGAAACAAAAAGAAAAAAAGAAGGAGGATAAACTGTTTAGTAGGATGATCTTCAGACAGTGATGTAATTCATGATCAGTGCACAATAAAAATCTTTCATGAATATTAATGTGAGCAATCCTTCATTTGTCTATATCTTACTTTGTCACTTTTTGCTAGTAAATTAGTATGTATTGTCATCATAAAAACTAACCTTAGATTGTTGACCACACACAATGACCATATGCTGGACAGCTGGTCTCCTTGCATATTATACATTGCTATCTCTGGTCTGAAAATACAGAAAATAAAAACATTGTAGAAATGATTATAATATTGCAGAATAACAAAAAAGACAAGGACCTGTGTCTTTATTCAATGACAGACAGTTTCAACTGTACAACTAGCCAATTATGAATAAAAAACCCCAAAAAATTGCTGAAGTAATATTGTATGAAACTGGAAAAATTTGATTAAACATTAAGGTTACAACAGGTTAACCAAAGGGGCACTGTTAATGTACAAAGTACATATTACAGAAGTGCAATAACTTTGACAGATTAACACTCACTGTTAGTACAAACTACAAAATAGCCTTCACCTTTGAATGTGTTATATTTATCTATTATTAAAATTTTAACACCTATACTCATATAAATATTCATTAGATAACATTTGATAACATTTTCATATTGATAGTAATGTGAGATAAATCAGTACAATTTTTTTAAACCTTTATCCCTATTATTTTAATCTTCACTTAAAACCATTGATTCATTTAAAGGGAAAATTTCAGAATATTTACTGACTGAATACAGAGCACAGTGCAAACCAATGATGTTTAGACGGCAGCCCCCAAAAAGTATCAAATGATTTTTGGCATAAGGCTAAATTTCCTTATAACAACATGTTTGCTATCACAAAATAGTTGTTATAATTTAAGTCTAAAGGATACTCTGGACCCTTGTATTTATTGTTTACATAAACATATTTTGTTTTTATTTATTAGTAATACATATACATGTATATTATACTCATTTATAATATGGACATTAAAAAAAGTAATAACATGTTTAGAATCAAATACATTATGGCCCTATTGATACTTTAATGAACATGACAAAAAAGACAATGCCTGGATTTAAAGGGCATCAAAGCAGATATAATTGACATTATAAAAAAGACTATTTCTCTTTAAAGGGCATAAAAACAGAAGTACTCTAGGGTACCACTTTAATTGACAGATTGCTTTAATTAGGCTGCTGAAGTATTCCACAGCTGTATGGTTTGTTCCTGACTTTTCCAATTATGTATTAATTAATTTATAGGGGGAAAAACAATTCTAAATCCCCAAATTCATTTGACTTGATGGGATGCAAGTGCAGTTAATTAAACATAATTGTTGGGCAAAACAATTAAGGTCAATTTAAATCTTACTTTCTGGTAAAAAATCATGGGCATCAATCTAAAATGGAATTGCATCATTGGTCAATTTCAAAACTGTCATAAAAATTAACCAAAAAGATTAAAGTTGCTGTTTAATTGATAGTTGTATAAACTATGGTTCAATGTATGTTCAAAATTACAATACAGAATTTATTGACGACTTTTTCTTTTTAGAAATGTAACAATCTTAGTCAGCAGGCTCATTTCCTAGAAAGTTTTATAGTTCTATCATGAAATTAAATATTCATTTTTTTTGTAGATTCATCACTAGAAGTCTAACCTCTCCTTAACCCCAGGAAAAAAATGTGCATAAAGTTCCATAAATCTTTCACCACTCAATACAGTAAGGCAGAGTGTGGCTTATTTCAAGAACATTTGTTTTTCTTCATTTTAACATTCATAACAAATACAGATATTACCTACATCAAAATAATCATACTCAATCAAGATAATTCACATTTGAAAAATGCCATTTTAATATAATCATACAATTTCTTACACAAGTCTTGAACAATCTAGAAGCATTTACTTCTCAATTTATCAAATGCATTTTATAATGGATTCACTCTGTCTAAGGTTTGTTTAATTAAGCTTTAAGCCTGTCTAAAAATGCACAATAAATAGTTCTTGAACATAGCACAAGAGTGTGTCAAGATTATCTGGGGAACATATTGCAGGTAATTGCAGGTGATAAGCTTTGACAGGTATGGGATATTTCAGATAGCACCATCTGCTACTAGATTTACTGGTCAATATCAAACTAATGTATCTCCCCAATATAATCAATATACAAATACAGCAGTTCTACATCAATCTCTAAAACAAGTTGGTTGTTTTTCTTGATGCAGTAATAGTACATATGAGCCGCGTCATGACAAAACCAACATAATGGGTTTGCGACCAGCATGGATCCAGACCAGCCTGCGCATCCGCGCAGTCTGATCAGGATCCATGCTGTTCGCTATAATTTTATCTACATGATATAGGGTTTGTAAGCGAACAGCATGGATCCTGATTAGACTGTGCAGGCTGGTCTGGATCCATGCTGGTCGCAAACCCATTACGTTGGTTTTGTCATGACGCGGCTCATATAATCTGACAACTAATCCTGTACAAGGAGAATTTCATTTACTCTACAAGTTTAAATAAACCAAAATAACAATCACTTATATACAGAACCTGAAGAACAAGTCACACCAGTCATGTAATGTTTACCTAACATAGTCCTTAGAAACCATTTAAGCTTATTGGAATTACAAGATTGTACTTAACCAACAAAACCTGTAGATGCCAAATCTAAAGTGGACAAGACCATCTGTCAATATGGATGATGATGTGGCAAACATTTCTGTCTATTTTCAGATTGCTCTGCACTTGAAAAATCTTTCAAGCACTTTGATACTTAATGACTTTCTAAATAAAGTTACAGATATTTTTATAGATTTCTTTACTTTCAAGCACTTTTCTATGAGAATATTTTGGCCATTTAATATTTTTTCTCTTAATAAATCAATACATGAAAAATAAAAATCAGCCCAAGTGCGAATTTGTTCAAGCATTTGAGGTCCACCATGTAATACATGGAGACAGGAAAGAATATCATTAAGCAATCAGTCTTGTACAAATTCAGGTATTATTGGATTTCCATAGAAATCTGTTTATTTAAACATTTGACACATTGATATTGTCCCAGCTATGTCTCACCAAACAAGATAACAGTATCTAGGGATTCAAGCACTCAATACTTGATGTAGTTGACCCTCACTTCTGTTATAATGTTTAGATCTGGATTGGTTTTAATGTTACACTAACAATGTTTAAGCCATTATGAGGGTCAGATAAACTACCTGCTTGAAAACACTAAATTCTGACAATTCCTGAAATCATAAAATTTAATGCTTTGTTGTTTTATTTTCGAGGAAGCACTGGTCACAGGATTAAAGTCACACATACACTGTTTCAGGTCATACAAGAACCAGTCCCAGCAACAAACTATCCATTAAACTTACCACTAGGTCAGTTACCACTAAAGCTGGCATATGATATATAATACCATAATGTCCTTAAAAGTTTCTGTGGGATTTAAAGTTCAACCATTGAAAATAGAAATGAACGATGATTTCTACTGACAGAAAGTGTTCTTCATATCCTATTATTTTGCTGTAATAACAAAATGCACTTTTGTCTAAATTCATTCCTGCACAAGGTCCATCGTTTACTAAAACTACAAATAACTTTGGTATTTAATAATCATCATACAATTTAGATCTGTTAGAGAATGCCAAAGATTCTGATATAGTTAAGTAACTATAATTATCAGTATGAGTGGTCTGACGTGGATAACCTTAATATACCCAACATTGTAAACACCCAAGACTTCATTTATTCAAATTATGTTTTATTGTAAGCTTCCTTGTAATATACCAGGAAACATCAGTTCCATGTAGTACTTAAAGACTGCTCTCAGCTGGACTTCTTTAATTTAGAATCTTGACTTGGTTCAACACTGTGAACATCATTATAAGACACTTAGATTCTAAATTTAAAGCAATTTGGAATATAATCTGAATATTGCAGATAAGATTATTGTATCACATTGTATCCTAGCCTGGTCTATGCTTTCCTTTCCTATCCTGTCCTATCCTGTCCTGACCTGACCAGACCTATCCTATCCTAACCTAACCTAACCTAACCTAACCTAACCTAACCTTACCTAACCTAACCTAACCTAACCTATCCTATCCTATATCCTATTAATAATATCTGTCATATGTTTCGGTTCGGATCGGAATATCCGTCCCGAGGTGACCCGCCCATTGGGCGGTAACGAGGCTTGCCGCGTTACCGCCCATGGGCGGGTATTTACCGAGGGACGGATATTCCGATCCGAACCGCAAACATATGTCAGATATTTTTTCTTGCATATTCTACCATATTCCATTATATTTTAAATTCTTTATCTTTATTTTCAATAGAAATTTATATCATGACAACCGTAACTACTTTCTTACAACAGCGTATGAAATTGCAACTTCATTCATAACGGTAAAATGACGTCATCCTAAGCGTGCCATTGTACAGCACGCGACTCATCTGGAACCCCCCATGCCAGATGAAATTTCCGGCATGGGTAAAACTAACGGAAACGCCAGTCTGCTGTGCAAGAATGTCCTATCCTAGCCTAGCTTTTAAACCTACCAATTAATTTTACTGGAATGCCATCCACTAATATAATGTATCTGCACATCAAGCCAGGAGTTGTAAATTCAAGTGGTACAGGAGATAAATCTGTACCCTTAATAGGCAGAACTGGAAGCTGGCTGGATAATATATGAATGATTAGCTTTCAACATCATCAAGCTAAAGAAAAATGTATAAACTAATGAAGTTTATGATTATCAGGAAATTACTATGATTACTATTTCAAATGGTAAAACAAACATCTGTATAGCCTGTTTACATTTTGTTTTATTTACCAAATCTTACATGTTATTCAATTATATATAATGAAATAAAGCTCATAAAACAAGCTATTATTCTTTCATTTATAAACTATAATTTTCAGCATGATTAGCAAACCTTACACCTAGATAAATTACTGCCATGATTCCAAGTAATCTGTAACATGGCAGTTTAATGGCCAGCAAAATATATACACTCATTATGTAATCTTACTTGAAACAAAAGAGTTCTTGTCTCTCATTATTTCTCTTTGGGTTACTTTCTGCTTTTAACAAGGGGTACATTGCATCAGTCTGGTTTAGTCTGATCTTTTGGAATGGAGCCATGTCTTTTCTTCCTTCTTCATACTTTGTAGTGCTGTTGCTTCATGCAGACACACAGGGG